ATATATATATTATTGTTTTTATGTTACTCATGTCAAATTAAAATAAATTAGTGTCCATCAAAAATATGTCAGCACAAATCACAAAGACATCGGGTGGATGGTAGGAGTCATGAAATAGCCCTGTTGGACCTACCAAGGACAGTCCGGACCACACAAGCAGCAAGCCAACTCCTGATGTATCGAGAAGAAATTGCAACTCAGACGAATAAGAAAAAGATCATCCCCTAAAGAATCCCTTTGCTAGATCCAGTCGGATAAAACTAACTTCATTCAACCCAGATAGATCAACAACATGAAAAAAAACCTTTAGATTGGAAGCAACTGACGTGAACCCTCAGCGAGAAGCCACGTGGATAGGTGCCCAATGGCTGTCCGACCATGTCCATGAGACCCAGGGGGATTATTTATAAATAGACTGAAATACCCCTGCCGTATCTATAGACTTCAGGGTTCCATTATGTAATTATATAATGACCCATTCCTATAATAGGGGGTCCATTTTATGAATCAAGGTTACGTGATTTTACAGTTCAACATTATGCAAACTCTCTCTCACCCTCTCATTTGATCTCGGGTGTTTTATTCCTTGGGTGTGTCTCCTAAATAAATTTTGATTGAGCATCCTAAAAGGTGCGGTGAGTGTGGAGTCATGTCATTAACATGAAAAGGAGCACAACGATCCCCGAGGGAAATGAATAATCGAAAAATAATAGCTAATACGGGTCACCTGCGAGATGACACCAAGGAGATGGTTAAGGTGGGGAAGTTGAAGAAACTTAAGACCCAAAAACACTCAAGTCAAAGGCATGGGAAAGTGTCAGGATTGGAGGCCCCACCAGACCCAACCGGACGAACACCGTCCGTGTCACATGGATAGTTCCGAGCATCCTCGGAGGAATAGATGCTCCACGACAGAGCTCCATGAAGAAGACCAGAACACGCGAGTTGTGTAATCTCACTCTCATGCAAAGGGGTGAGATGCCCTCCCATCACACGTCTAAAGATGTTTACCAGCATGGTAATCCATACGAGGCTGCAATCATCATGGGGATAATCAGTACTTCCTAGTTGGAGGTATTCTCATCGACATTAGCAGCTCCATGAACATCATATTCAAGACAGTGTTTGACAAACTTAACCTTTAAGCCGATCAATTGGTAGCACCACTTAACCCACTTTTTGGTTTTTCAGCAGAAAGGAAGGAGGCGTTGGGCATCATGCCACTGGCAATCAACTAGGGTGAAGGAGACAAATAGTTCACAGAGATTGAAGTTTTTCTAGAAGTGGACTCACCCCAACATACAACACCATTGTTGGTCGACCACTACTAAACCGCTTCAGAGTGGTAGTATCGACCACCACATTGTTGTGAAAGTGATCACAGTCAGAAGAGATCTGGTGCAGTCGATGGTTTGCTGCCTTCAAGTAGTCGGGAGCGTGGAGCAAGAGCTGCTCGATCTACAGAGTTGAAAGGAGGGCAAGAATAACACTAATGAAGTTGTTTAGGAGATCCCAGTTGGAGAGAACGAACCCTATAAATCTTTCTCAATAAGTGATGGTTTTGAAGCTGGGCACCGAGAATTATTAATTTGGGACCACTACGATGTCTTTGCCTAGACTACCGTGGAGATGTTGATGCCCCTAGAATGTGTGCGTACAAATATGTTTACTTCAATTTCAATCTCTAGTGACGACACCAAATATTTGATCAGACCTGCAATTACGTAGATATTTAATTTCATGGCAAAAAACTCTTAGGCGGCTAATGTGCCATATGGATGTGTTATAGAATTTAAAATTGATTTATATTTTACATACTAAGGGTTCTAGACAAGTATACGAACTGTTACAACTAGTATAGGGTTTTCTTTTAAGACCAGAGTGTCAAGCCCACAGAGAAGCGAGGTAAGAATCCTGTAGGTAAATTCTTGTCTACCATTGTCAGGTCTTAGGTTTAGAATGACGATTATGGGTGTTTTTCTAATAACTACTCCTAAAAAAAAACATAAATCTAAAGATAAACCTAACTAGAGAAATTGGTTTGGAGAATTTTGAGAAGTTTAAAACTACGATGTCCCATATAAAGTGTAAGATTTAAATGATTAGAATTTAATGTGGCTAGTGATAAATAAGAGAATGCCTATTCTTTGCCCTCTCCTGAGTGCATAACTAATCTAAAGTAAGTTCTTAATAATATGGTAGTGCTGAGTAGAATCTAGCCTCTAACTTCTATATTACCCACTGTACCCTCTTGATCTCGATGATATAGTTGTGCAAAATATATAAAGTTGACTCCGCTTTTCAACGGTGCCAAAAATTTGATGTGTTATTTTATGAATAAGAAATTTAAGCAATTTATGTAGGGATTCTACGCAAGTGTATGTATCGTTATCAAGTAATACAGGACTTTCTGTTTAAGCCCTAAATATCGATCCCACGAGGAAGGTCTAAATTTGAACTGATAAATTAACTAGGAAATTCACAGCAATAAAATAAAATTATTGTCACTAATTTCAATAATTTGATGTATTATCAAAACTAAATTATTAACTACTAGCAAAGCTGAAATACTAAGCTTAAACAATAACTACCAAACTATGTTTATGTGAGGAAGTTATCTAATATGAAAAAACATCTTTCCCACTACAATGAGTTTTTGGTAAAATGAGATGAGATAAATGGTTTAAATATGTATTGTGTCAAATAGGAGCAATTTTAATTCTCTACCCTGATTCAGTGTTATAGAGAATCATTGGCTAATCTCAGGTTTAGTCCTTAAATCCGTGGTTAGGCTGAGAGGATACTGGCTCTCACTTTATAGCTCCCACTTCTCTTCCTATAAAGGCTAACTCTGGCTTTTGTTCTTAAACACTAAGACCAAATTGGGAACTTTATTCTGTCACTTTAGAATCTCCAATTCTTTGCCAAGTAATAATTATATTTCCTTATTTATTTGCACTCAATTCCATGAACAAAACACTCCTTCATGGAATTGAATGTGAATTCTACACCCAACAATGTATATTTTCCTATTTATTTGCACTTAATTCCATGAATGAAATACTCCTCCATGGAATTAAATGTGGCTCTCACTCTGTTGTAGAACTCATACTCCATTTCCCGGATCATATGTTTCACAAAAAAATTTAACATTTCAATTGGCCAGACTTCCAAATTAAGAACGGAGTTGAAAAACCATCACAATTTATTTTATATTTTAAAATTAACACATCCAAATTATCTCTTCATTTCATCATATCTTAGAATAGGGATAAAGATAAAAGAAACTACTCAGACTTCATGAGAAAGATACAACAAAACATAATTTTATATATAAAAAAAAGTTCATACAACAATAATAAATAAACAACGCTTATCTGAAACTCTTTCTCAAAGCAAAGCCCTTGTAGCCTCTCTTGGACTCTTTCTCTCTTTACAATACTCTTGATTCTCTCTTAAAAGATGTAGGAAGAAGAAATCTCTCACTTCTCTCCCTCTCTAACAGGTCTTAGAAAAGAATTCACACTTAAACTCACAACAAAATCTCAAAACTCTACAGAAATAAATGGTTAATGGACTTTTAGTGGTTGGGGGGATGGAAGAGAGAGTTTTTTGATCAATTTTGGCCCTAAATAGAGCCTAATATCGGTTTTCCAATAGGTGCATCCAAAAACTCTTCAAAAAGCGTTCAAATTTATCAAATCTTTTAGAAATAGGTCTTGCACCGACATTGGCGCCGTCGGCGTCCATTATGGTGTCGTCGACGCCAGTGGCCCATGAATTAATTTTGTGCTCTCTATCAAATGGCGTTGTTGGCGCTACTCCTCGCGTCATCGGCGTTGAGTATATTCTGGCTTCTATTCTGTAGGTCTGCACCATCGGTGTCCATCTTGGCACCATCGGCGCCGAGTATTTCTTTAAAAATGCCATTTTGACTCCAAATTGCATCTTTTTTTATTCAAGTCCTAAAAATCAACAACCTGCAATAAAATATGAAAATAACCCTCCTTTAAAGTGCAATATCACCATAAATGAGTATAAAATATATGTCTAAATATGCATATATTTTTGGTGTATCAA